CTGTGCCGGGAGGAAGGAAGAAGTTGGAGAGCACCAGTGAGCTCTGCGAGAAGCGGAGGAGAAAGTGTACTCCCCGCATCATCTTCCCTTCCTTCCCTCCCTTGGAAGAGGAGGAGGACGATAGACCGCTCTCCCCCTTCTTGTCCTTCTTGCTCCCACCGCTCCCCTTGGTCTTCAGCTGCGCGCTGCCTGCTCTCCTTCCCAGCTCCTCCTTCACTGACTTCGCCATTTTCCTGAAGCTTTTGATCGCCTTCCTGTCCACCTCCAACCTCACGCCGTCCACATGCAGCACAGCAAGCAAAGCCTTGTCCTCCTTCTTCCTCATCCTCCTCCTCTCCAGCCTGCACAGCACGCTTCCTCCTGTCCTCCAGGGTCTGAGACCTCCAGTGCCAAGGAAGACGTAGAAGTTCTCGCAGAGGAGCTTGAGATGAGAGGAGGAGGAGGAGGAGGAGGAGGAGGAGGAGGCGCTCTCAACGATGGCGTCTACGAAACCTGAGGAGACGCGAAATTCTTCCCCTGAGCTGCAGAGCACGGCAAGAGCGAGACCTGAGGGCCGCCGGTCAGAGACGGACAGAAGGAGAATGGGAGGGAGGATGGCAATGACAAGGATGAAGCAAACGGCGGGTGAAGGGCAAAGAGAGGAGAGGAGAGGAGAGGAGAGAAGGAGAGGAGAAGAGAGGATGGGAGGGGAGGGGAGGGGAGGGGAGGGGAGGAGAGGAGAGGAGAGGAGAGGAGGGGAGGAGAGAAGGAGAGGAGAGGAGAGGAGAGGAGAGGAGAGGAGAGGAGAGGAGGGGAGGGGAGGGGAGGAGAGAAGAGGGGAGGGGAAGGGAGGAGAGGGGAGGGGAGGAGAGGAGAGGAGAGGAGGGGAGGAGAGAAGGAGTGAATGAGGTGGAAAGTGAGGACGGAACAATTGAAGGAGGGACGATAGTCGAGGTAGAGGACGAGGGAGCAGACCATTGACCCTCGCGGAGAGGAGGGCGACTTTTCTCTTCTTGGGCTCCTGCAGCAGCTGCATCCCCTTCCTCGAGTTGTTGTAGGACGTGGCTCCAAGGTGAGCAGCCTGCAGAGCTTGCAGCATTTGCTTCACCTCTTCCTCCTCCTCCCTCATCGCACGGGCCACCGGGTTGTTCCGAAAGTTGTCCCACAGGGAGAGGACGAGGAGTAGATCCTCAGACCGGAGCTCCGCCTGCGCGCTTCTTCTGACCTCTACATGCACCCTCCTCTCATCGGGCCGCAGCTCGCTGTCCACGTTCCACCTCCTGTTGCGGAGTAGGATGATCCTCCCCTCCTGGATCGACAAGAGCTCCCGCGCGTACGCCTCCTCCTCCTCCGCACAGCTCAGCGACACGCTCGCCATCTCGATCCTGGTCGCATCCACAGTGGACTGGAGGGCCTGGAGGGAGGAGACTTCCCTGCTGTCCCCCGGGGCCCAGGGGAAGGAGGAGGCTCGAATCTCCTGCAGCCCCCCAGCAGTGAGGCACTCCTGCTTCGAGCTGGGGAGGAAGCTGGCAGAGAGCTCGGAGATGTCCAGCCGCAGCTCAGTCACGCGCAGACGAACTTCGCCGTCCTCCTGCTCCTGCCTGTAGACGGGGAGGAGGACGGAGAGGGAGCGGGTCTCCAGTTGGAAGTTCATCCCTACCTTGTCCTTCTTCTTCTTCTTCTCCCCCAGCGGCGAGGAAAGCAGCAGGTCATGTTTGCTCAGCCGCTGGCTCACGTCCTCCGTCAGGAATGTCCGGAACAGCTTCATCCAGGCAGAAGCATCCCACACGAGCACAAGGGGAGCGAGTTGGACCCGGACCGAGGCGTTGCTTCCACCTCCTCCTCCTCCTCCTCCTCCTCCTCGTCCTCCTCCTCCTCCTCCTCCTCCTCCTCCCATGTGGAGCTAAGACGGCCACTGGGCAGAGAGGGAGAGAACATCTTGAAATGAGTCAGCCGCCGCCTCCCCCTCCTGATCCGTCGAGGGCTTGACGAGCGAGAGGTGCGGAGGAAGCTTATCCTCTTCCGCGTTGCTCTGCTTCAGCGTGAAGAGACGGACGACGAGCTCGAGGAGGTTGTCAGTCCTGCTGGGCATGGACGTCTTTGACTTCTGAGCGGGCCAGAAACGAATGTGCATGCCTGTAAGAAGCGCCAAGAACTCCTCCTCCTCCTCCTCCTCCTCCTTCCTCCCTCCCTTCCCCCTCCCCCTCCCTTCCTCTTCTTTGTGCGTGCTGAGCTGGACCTCTCGGACGAGGAGCTCGATGCTGTTGTCGATGTAGGGGCACCACTTGGCGTCGCTGTCTGACCAGCGAGCTTGAGACTCGAGGAGCGAGTCCAAGCTCTCAGCGTCCATGCTCTCCTGCGACTCCACCGCCTCGTCCTCCGCCTCGTCCTCCGCCGCCTCATCCACCATGTCCGAGAGAGAGTTGGAGGAGAACGTCCGCGCGTGCAGGTCGTCGGTCTTCCCCTTGCTCACCGTCTTGAGGGCCCCAGCGATCGCCTTGAGCATCATGACGTCTCTCCTAGACAGCGAGGACGAGACTTGCGGGATCTCGAGATCAACCTTGAAGCTCTGCAGCTTCCAGTCCTGGCACCTCCTCTTGGTTGAGAACTTGCAGTGTATGCTCAACCCCTCGAACAGCTTCCTCGCCTCTCCTCCTCCCTGCCCTCTCTGCGACAGCGGGTGCCAGAAGCGAGTCGCGCATCCTGTAATCTCAACCTTCTTGAAGGACAGCGCCTCGTTAGTCACCCCGTTTATCACGTACACCTTGTTGATGTCGTTGACCTCCTGCCACTGCGAGTTTGTGCTCGTCACCCGCACGCTCCCCATCTCCAGCTGGACGAACGAGGGGGCAGGAGGAATCGAGGATGCGCCACCTGCGTCACTAAGGAACTGGATCTTGACGCTCAAGTCTGACGCCTGCACCTTGATCCCTTGTATGATGGCGTTCCTCTTCACCCGCATCTGCTCCTTCCCCTTGGACCGCTTCTTCTTCTTGTCCTTCCATGCTGTCCGCACCTGATGTGCTGGCAGCTGCTGGATCACGATCGATATCCCCGTCACTACCACCACGATGGGATCCTTCCCGCTCTTGCCCAGAGACATCACAGACACGTACCACTGCATCTTCTTGCATGTGGCTGAGACGGCCGTGTAGTTGAGCGGGAGGTAGCTGTTGATGAAGGTCTTGTTGAATTCCAGGTCCTTGGCCGTCCCTTCACCTTTGAGCAAGGAAGAGGTTGCGTTCTTGCCAGGCTGGAAGTTTGTGAAGATGTGGGCGATGCGCTTCTCGAGCACCCTGGCGACCAGGTTCGCCATGTCCAGACGATTTCTATTGTCAGCAGAAGCTGCTCAGGAAGCACGCGATCTAGCTGTGCTGTGTTCCTTCTCTGCTCTCTTCTTCTACCAAGTACCTCGCACAATCTTTCAAGGACTCTTACAGCATAATCTCCGTCTCTGCCATCATCTGCATCTGCATCTGCATCTCCGTCTTGATCTCTGTCTCCATCTCTGTCCTCTCTACACCTTCAGCTCCTCCTCCTCCCTCGCACGCTCAGCATTTCATCCGCCCTCATTTGCTTTTGTGCATTTTTGAAGCCTTTCTCCCCCACCTGTGCTGTAGCCGCGTAAACCGGTAGACCACCAATTGTCACTGAGAGTTCTTCCCGGCCAGCTTCCCGGCCCGGGCCCCGGGAACATTTGGTCTGCCATCATTATGGTTACACATACGCAAAACCTTGAGGGTTTTTATTTTAGTGCCCCCCTTTCAGGCAAGGATGGGTGATGGAAGGGAGGGGTACTCCAATAAAGATTGGCTTGTTGACCAGGTAGGGTATATAACCATACCCTTGTATAATCCATGGCTTCTGGTATTTTGACGGGGTATATAAACTCAAAAGTGGGCATCAAGGGGTACATCATACCACCGCTACTTGACCACCCCCTTGAATACACACTGCGGTCGCCCTCACCGGTTCTTATTACCGTCTTACAACCACCCCCCCAATCCCTTAAAAGTCCAGGCCCCTCTCACCCCCTACCCACTTTCAAGAGCTTTGTAGTACCCGTACTTCAGTAATTGCTACCCCACCCCCTGCAGGGATTCTTTCAGCAATGCTGGTGAGCAGCCGAAGATACTCTGCCTTCCTGCCTCCCTGTCCTCGCCGATCTCCTCCTCCCCCCCCCCCCCCCCCTCCTCCTCTTCGCCATCCTCCTCATTGCTCTCGTCGTCCTCGTCGTCCCTCGTCGTCTTTCTTCCCTCCTTGCTCTCCTTACCCCCTCCACACGTCGAATCCAAACCTCTCCCTCGTTTCTTGCATGCAGACCTTCCCTCTTCCTCTTCTTTGACTAAATGTGTTTTGGCATACCTCATAACTCAGTATCTCATGCTCATTCTCACTCCCACTAGCATGCTTTGTGTTTCAGTCCTCGTCTGCGCATTTGTGATGACCACCCATGTCTTCCGGGCTGTGACAACAGCATGGCGGCCTGCTCGAACGTGATTCATCCCACTGATCATGGTGGCTCTTGTCGCAGAGGGTAGTTGTCTTCGCCGTTGGCGTCGCCTCCGTCTCCGGATTCTCCTCTCCCATCGCTCTGCGCCATGCCGCGCCTCAAGCAAAGCTCAGCTGCTCCCCACGAAGGGGCCGTGCCCAAACCCCCAGCGTGCGCATGGGACTATTCGACAACTTCGTCAAGGTGGCTGAGTTGACTGATTGGGAGCAGCGTAAACGAGCGTGTGCAGGCGTTTGAGACTTCCATCCCTGGAAACTCGGCGGACCTAAACCAGGTGCTGCTTTGGCGAGCCGCATGGTGCTTCTTCTGACATGGGGTCAGTACGAGGGATGGATCGAGAGGGACGGCATGAAGGCCTTCAGCTTCGACGGCAAGCAAGCTCCCCGCCCGATCTCGTACGGCTCCTACTCCCTTGCTGGGAGAACTGCAGGTGCGGCAACGATGCTGCTGCTGCTGCTGCCACCTCACCATGGCTCTTCCTACCTGATAGCGTCCAACACTGCCATGAGGGAATCGTCGAAGGCTCAGAACAACCCGTTCGCTGGCCTCCCCAAGTGGATGCAGTCGCCCGTTGCATCTTCCAAGGCCCCAGTCTCCAACAAGGAGAACCAGGTGCGAGGACGAGGAGGCGGCGGATTGAGTTGAGGAGCGGGAGTATCGTTGAGGTTTCAGACGTCGAACAGTGATGAGATGTGGTTGTCTACTTTCGATGTGGAAGAAGAAGAGGAGATCTTGACGCCGGGACTGAGAGAGGAGGGAATGAACAGAAGGAAGATAGCAGCGGGGATTTGAGAATGTGGGAGGCAGTACATCCATGAGGTAGGAGCTAGGGGTTGACGAAGGGTTTCATCAGGACGGAGTTCTTCAGATCCCCGACGTCGGCGACGGAGTGAGCATGTTCTGCGTCTTCGACGGCCATGGCGAGTACGGGAAGCTGGTGCGTGCGAGGAGTTGAGGGGGGGCACACTTGAACTCAAGGCCGGCAGGTGACGGACTGGGCCATCCGAACGCTTCCGAGCTACATCGCAGGTGCTGTGAGATGAAAGGGAGGAGGCGAAGTAGAGGCATGCCCGATGATGAGGCGGACGGGAAGAGGAGGGGTTAGGATCACCTCGTCCTCCCCTCCTGCCCTTTCCCCTCCTCTTCCTCTATGCTCTCCTCCTCTCCTCTCCTATCCTCCTCTTCCTCTAGGACTGTCGAAGGGCCATGGAGGAGGCAGATGAAAGTCTTCAATCTTCTCATCTGCAGTTGGCAGGAGCTGTTGCCGAGGGAAGGCCCGGACAACTTCTCAACAGGATCACTGACGCCTATCGTGCTGCTGATGCTCTACTGGTGATTTTCTTTGTTATGGAGATGCCAGCTGGGGATTTGTTGGAGCCGCTGCTGATGTTCGCGGTTGGTTCGATGCCGCAGGCTGACATCATTTTCAACAGACCGAAGAGCTTGGTTACCCTGTGATCGAAGACAGTGGAACAACTTGCGCTCTTGCTCTCGTCAAGGATGATTTGCTGCTGGTATGGAGATATTTTTTGCGTATCATGTTGCTTTGTGATTTGTCACGATGTTTTGTTGTTGTTTTAACATCGAGAAGATATTTGAAATGATATGCACCATTTTTTTTTCGATACATTGGGGTCTCTTCATTAACAGAGATGCATTTATATGTACGAGAGTGTTTGATTTGACGTGCTTGCAAGGTTGGAGGGTTGGGAGACTCTCGTGTTGTGCTTGGAGTTGACACAGGAGATGGAAGTCTTGGTGAGTCAAAGCAGAACTCTTCACATTTCTTTCCTCCTCCTTCTCCTCCTTCTCCTCCTCCTCCTCCTCCTCATACTTCAACTCCTCGCCCCCCATACTGCAACTGACCGGACGTTTGTAGGCGCTCAGCCTGTTACCCTCGATCAGTCGCCCAAAGTTCCTGCTGGTGAGAAACATGGATCATTCCGTCCCCCTCTCCTCTCTTCCTCTCCTCCTCGCCTTCTCTCCTCTTTCTCTGATCTTCTTTCTTCTCCTTATCTTTCTCTCCCTCTAAGGACTCGTTCCCTCTCCTCGCTCCTTTCATGCCATCGCTGCCACTTGTTGGCCTCTGACCGCTCGTTGGAAGAAACTGCGAGGATCGAGAAGGCAGGAGGAGAAGTGCGAGGGGAGGGCGTTGGAGGGCGCGTTTACGCCAAGGGCCAGGAGTTCCCAGGCCTCGCCGTAGCCAGGTGAGGGAGGGCACGGGGAGCCGCCGACAAGCTTGGAGAGGCTTGAGGAGAGGGAGAGGCGAGAGCTGCAGGGCACAGGGTAGCAGAAGGAGAGGATAAGGAACAAGCAGAAGCAGCAAGGAGCAAAGAGCCGGGGCGGGGGAGAGACGAGGAGGAGACGAGGAGGAGGGAGAGAGCAAGAGAATGAGTTTGTTTCCCAGAGCCTTCGGGGACGGCGATGCGAAGCAGTACGGAGTTACAGTTGATCCTCAGTTCATCGGATGGAAGCTGAGAAGTGGGCAGGTGAGGCGGTTAGGAAGGGACGAGGAGCGAGAGGAGGAAGGGGATGGTGCGAACGATCAAGCGGGAGGAATGTTCGCGCGGGAAAGGAGGGGAGGGGAAGCACGGAGAGGAGGAGGATACAGTGGAGGAGAGAGGGGGGAGAGGCGAAGACGATACAGTTAGCGAGGGGAGGAGAGGGGAGGTGAAGGGAAGGAGAGGTTGACAAGCATACAGGACTTTGTGCTGATCCTCGCGTCGGATGGAGTTTGGAACGCTGTTGGCAACGAGATCGCCGTTGAGATCTGCGCTAAGCACCGACAAACTCGCGATGCCAACAAGGCAGCCAACGAGCTCGTGCTCAAGGCCCGTCAGGTCCTTATCCGCTCTCCTCCTCTCCTCTCCTTTCTTCTCTCCTTCCTCTTCCACCTCTCCTCCTCTTTCTTCTCCTCCTCCTCTCCTGTGGCTTCATCTCCATCAACATCTTCCGCACCACTGCTACGTCTACCTCCAGCTCCTTCTTCTCCCTAGGGCTGCTCTCAATGCTCCCGTTCCTCTTCTCGACTTATCTGGTGGGTGCAGGTGTGGGAGGGCCTTGCTAAGGGCAGGATCGACGACATCTCCGCTGTTGTTGTCTTCCTCTAAGAGAGGAATCAGGACGAAGAGCCTAGCAGCGGAGAAGGAAGAGGAGGAGGAGGAGGAGGAGGAAGTCTCCCGTAGCAGGTCAGTCTACATTAAAGAGATTTTATCATCAGAATCATCATGAAAACCCTCACGCCATCTCATCGACCTCGTCAAGATCTCCCACTCTTCGCTGCACATACTCGAACTGAAAACTTTGACCATCCTTCTTGAGGAGGTTCCCAAACATGCTTATCCTCTCCTGCTTAAAGCACACCATCCTTGTATGTACACATTCCCTCTCCTTCCCCTTCTTCGTGTGCGTCTCCAGAAACAGCAACTCCCCCTCCTCTGGCCTGCAGCATGCCAGTAGCGACACCTCAACCATGTTGGAGGACAGAGTCTGGACCGGCTTCCCGTCCGCCTTGAACTCTCCGATCTTGTGCCATGAAGACCTGAAGCTGTCGAGCAGGCGCCGCATGCACATCCTCGCGTAGACTGTGCAAGAGATACACCCCTCCTCCTCCACGTCGAAGGAATACCGCGTCTCCACCAGCTTGCACAGGTGAGCCTTGCTCTCGACCCCGAACCTCCTCTCCGCCTCCCTGAGAGCCTCAAGCGCCTCCTCCGTCCTGACCACCGACTGCAAGACAGTGGAGGAGAAGATAGAGGACACGTGATCGCTCCCCGTCACTTCCTGCATGTGTCTGTCGATGTCTCGCGGAGTGCAGGTGGAACATAGATCGTCCTCCTTGTAGATACCTCCGAAACTCCCCACGAACTGCCGTAGCTCCTCCTCCCCTATCGCGTTCTCGTCGGCCTCCACGGGTGACTTGGGGTTGAGAAAGAACGAGGCCAGCCCTGCCCTACTCAGGTGGATGGGGACGAAGTCGATCGGCTCCACCTTGAACCCCAGCTTGGTCGGCAAAAGCACTCGAGCTGTCATGGAGGGAGGGAGGGCTCCAGAGAGTGACTCGAGGTTCGACTCAAAAGCCTTGAGGATACGCAGATCCCTAGGATGCACCAGGTGCGCGAACCGGCTGCCGTCGCCTCTGCACATGAAGCTCGACAGCTTCCACCACTGCTCCAACGACCAGCTCATACTCTCCACTCTCCAGTCGGGGAAGGAGGAGGAGGAGGACGAGTTCAGCTGCAGAATCATGATGTGCAGCTCTCGGCCTGTCAGGAGCCCCTCCCCCAGCACGCTAGGAGTGATTGTCTTCTCTTTGACAGGCTCCTGAGGTTTGACAGGCTCTCGCTTTGCCGCCTCCTCCTTCACCACAGTGACATCCTCCTTCAGCTGCGCAACATGCTTGACAAGATCTTCCAGCAGCTGTGCAAAGGTTCGCGCAGCTGGACGTCTACTCAAGGTGTGTTCGCCCCTCCTTTGGGCCTT